CTACACCTTCTTTTCTTTTCCACACCGGTTCCTTTTCACTCCGGGTCTTTTTCACTCTGGTTCCTATTCACTTCGGTTCTTTTTCACTTCGAGTCCTTTTTCACTCCGGCTCTTTTTCACTCCGGCTCTTTTTCACTCCGGCTCTTTTTCACTCCGGCTCTTTTTCACTACGGCTCTTTTTCACTACGGCTCTTTTTCACTCCGCTACTTTTTCACACCGGTTGTTTTTCACTTCGGTTCTTTTACTCCTTGATTCCTTTTCAGTCCGGTTCTTTTTCAATCCGGTATATTTTCACATCAGTTATTTTTAGCTGCATTTTTTTACTGCTGTTCTTTTTCACTCCAATTCTTTTTCACTCCGATTCTCTTTTCCTATGATTCTCTTTCGCTCCGATTCCTTTTCACTCCGGTTCCTTTTCATTCAGTTTCCTTTTCACTTCGGTTATTATTCAGTTCAGTGCCTTTTCAGTTCGGTTCTTTTTTCTCTCCGGTTCTATTTCACTTCGGTTCTATTCCACTCCGGTTCTATTTCACTCTGGTTCTATTTCACTCTGGTTCTATTTCACTCTGGTTCTATTTCACTCTGGTTCTATTTCACTCCGGTTCTGTTTCACTCCGGTTCTGTTTCACTCCGGTTCTGTTTCACTCCGGTTCTGTTTCACTCCGGTTCTTTTCCTCTCCGGTATTTCCCCGGCCTGCTGGGCCTACGCGTCGTGCTCGCAGAGGGCCTTGGCGCGCCGCTTGCTCCGCAGCAGCAGCAGCTCGATGGCGGCGAAGGCGAGGGCGCCGCCGACCAGCAGCGCCGCCAGGATGTACAGCTTGACGTAGACGCAGAGGTGCGCGCTGTAGCCGTACGCTGCGATGTACCCCGCGCTCTCCCACAGGTGGTAGTTGCTGAACGCCGCCTCCTCGTCGCCCGGGAACAGGTGGCTCACCAAAGCTGCGGGCAGGCGGGACAACACTCGAGTTAGCTGCTCGGTCTACTACTGGCAGATTGGAGAGTTTACCAGAAAATATATTTGACTCATGCTATCGATAGGCATTTTCAGATCTAGGAATGAGATATACAGTAGTTTACACCAATATTTCAAACATTAATTCTTCTAAATATAAACTGAAGTCCTCATTTTTATTAGAAGTGCATCGAGTATTTGAATTTGATTCAGAATATTGAAATTTTTGTTTGTAAAATAGCCGGTCACTGCTTTCTTCCATAAAGAAAAACGTGATTGTCTATACGAAAGATTGTCTTAAGAAATCTAATGGCAACCAAATTGAATATGATCGTGCAAAAACCGTCATGGAGTAATAAGAGTGTTTTTAGTGAATTCCGAATAACCCGAATCTCACTTTACACATTGAAAGAAAATAGCACGTGGAGACCTAACTCACCTCGTACCTTTTTCGCCCCACAACTGTTTACAGCAATGTGTTTATTTGAATAAAAATTATATAAAATTAACTTTCGATATAAACTTAAAGTAAAATTCGTCTCTGTCTGCCCTTACCACGAAGAGGTGGTAACTAGAAGGGCCTGCCAAACTGCTTAAAATGCAATAGAAGGTCTGAAAATATACCATTAAGTGGATTTCAGCGTCCGGAACGTAACTCAACAACCAGATTTTGAAGGTCGTGAGCTGCACTATTTTCGAGTCATGTGGAATCGATGAGTCAAAAGTGCAATTTGTTACCTCCCGTATTTTTTAATCTTTGTCACTCACGTATGCAGGTGAGATATTGAATTATTTTCGCTAGAATTGAAAATAAATAAATTAATAATTATTGTGAGTAATTTATGATAGTAAAACAAATATTAGTGTTCTCCTCGGTGAGATGAACAAATATTTATTCGGGCATTTTGTATAGAAACGCTTAGTTTTCGCACAGCGGCTTCGTGGCGATTTCCCTTATTTTATAACGATCACAGTTATATTTATGAGTCAAAGCTCTGAGAATAGTTTGAAGTATGCGGAAGAAAAGTAGGTATACATTTTTGGAAGAAAAACGAGAATATGTCAATTGATGAAATTAAAGCACATATTGCGATATTTGTATTTATATTTATATTTATATTTATATTTATATTTATATTTATATTTATATTTATATTTATAATTTATATTTAATATTTATATTTATATTTTATATTTATATTTATATTTATATTTATATATTTATATTTATATTTATATTTATATTTATATTTTATTATTTATATTTATATTTATATTATATTTATATTTATATTTTATATTTATATATTTATATTTATATTTATATTTATATTTATATTTATTTATATTTAGTGGTTGTGATTGTTGTAGGACTCACTGTTGATCTGGACGAGCCAGAGGCCGTCGACGACGCCCAGAGCGCGGCGAGCGGGAAAAGAGCACGGCGCGCGAGGAGGCGGCGGCGGCGCGCGGCTCCCACGCCAGCAGCACGGCCAGCAGCGCCGCGTGGAGCGCCACCGTCGCCGCCATGAGGCGCCGCCGCCCCACGCGCGCGTTCAGCCACCCGGCGGCCGCCGACGCGCCCGAGTTGGTCAGCCCGTAGCAGATCATCACGTAGCCGATGCTCGCCACGCCCGACACGCACGACACGTACCCCTGCGGCACGCGGGGCGATGCGGCCAAGTCGGTTAGTCGCTTGTTAGCAGCATTACAGTTTCAGTAATAAACATTTCAGCAGTACAGGATGTCTCGGAATAAATGTTACAAACTTCTAGGACGTGTAGACGGTTCGACAATGATAACATTTTGCCAGAAAACACATAGTGGAAGTTGCATATAAAGCACATATGCGCATTTGTAAATATGACATTTGTCCCTGATGTTATGCAACCTCGTATGCACAGATATTAGACAGCAACGTGAAATCTCCTTGTCTTCTTGATAATGGGTCCTACTTATAACTTCTTAATGGCATTTTCCATTATATTGTAATTGGGAAAAATATAAAAAAAAATAACAAGTAATGTTTAGTAATTCTAATTTTAATTGTTATCATGTTTGCCACCGAGCATTAGCTCAAAGCGAACTTTAATAAATCTATCTATCTATCTATCTATCTATCTATCTATCTATCTATCTATCTATCTATCTATCTATCTAACATTCTACTTGACCTAGAAGTTAGTAACATTTATTTTGAGACAAACTGTGTAATGTAATCTCAATAACTTGAACATTAATACACGACTGGTTACATTAACTATCATTGGAACGTCTATCTCGAATTGTTTTTCATTTTTCTACATGTCTTCTATAATATATGTCAATACCTTAAATTTTGATTACTCGAAAAACTCGTCGAATATACTTTTTCTTTTTTCTTTGGGTTCGAAATTTGAGGTTCCAGCGTAATTCCGTTGTTGGAAAAGAATCATTTTGAAGCCAAAGAAGATGAAATAGTTAAATGTGTGGAAATCTCTACTTCACACTTCGAATTTTTACTACAAAGCACAAATTGAGAAAGCATCCAGAAAACGGAAACCATTTAATCTCTGAGAAAACACTACTATCGTGATTGAAAAAAATACTTATTTAATAAACAATTTCATCGATTATTATCTTCATATTTGTATTTTTACATGCAGTTGAATTCCTTTGAAATCTAGTTAAAAGTCACGCAAATTCAAACTAGAAATTATATTTCTTGGACTAGATATGAGAAAGATTTGTGAAGGATTACAAGATTTATGAAGAAACGTTTCCATTTTATTTGCTTTTCACAAAGAAGAAACCAGAATAGAAATAAGAAAACACAAGTACCCAAATTCCACTCTTTGAACTCAGATCATTTGATTCTCGAATAATTTAATAATTAATTGTCTAATATGTCTTTCTTAACCATTGGGAGTTCCGCAACTCTGTATAAATTGCATTTCAAATATCTATAAAATACATTCAAATATTTTATCCAGCCAAGTCCAAGGTTCCGTTGAATTACTCATTCGTCAAGCAACACGCGGGAGCGCGATAGGCAGGAGGCGACTCACCGCCGTGAACTCCGCGCCCACGAAGGCCTTCTCCGCGCCGAAGAAGAAGAAGACGGGCACGAGCAGCAGCAGGCGGCGGCGGCGCAGCAGCTTGACGGTGGCGGCCAGCAGCTCCAGCGCCGACGGCTGCCCCGCGCCCTCCGCGCCCTCCGACCCCTTCCTGCGCACACGCGCACGCGCACGCGCGCGCCGTCACTCGCCGCCTCTTGCCACACGTCAGGGGGCGGGGCGGGATGTGTGATCGCCCTCCGGAGGGGGGGGGGAGACGGAAGAAATGGACATGGAAACCTGCTTCTCGAGCTGTCAAAGGATCCATACCTCTTACCTATCTACCTCTTAGGTAGTCTCGGGCCTTCACAATCGGTACCAAACGTTAAGAAGACCTCCTACCGGATCTGAGGGATGATTCAATTTGAAAATTAACGCGATCCCCAAGCTTTCATATGAGCCAACTATCTCTTTGTGTGGTCTACGGTCTTCACAATCGGTACAAAACATTAGGAAGCCCTCCTACCCCTCAGCTGATAGTAGAGGTAATTTAATTTAAAGTCTAACCCGTTCCCCAAGCTTTCAAATCACTCAACCACCTCTTTAGGTGGTCTGGGAGCTTCACAATCGGTTTCAAACTTTACAAATCTCTCGGCTGGTCGAAGGGGGCCGGAGACTCTATGCATAGGGAATTTGGGGGCTTCAAAATCGGTACAAAACAGTGGCTTGCATCTTATGTTATGATGATAAAGCTGAAATAACTCCCGAAACAGCAAAAGGCAAATGACAATGCGCGGACGGGGTTTGCAGGTACTCAGCAAACAGTGTTAGTAATGTGCCGCAGACATTTTGAAATGCTAAAAAAGCGCAGGAGATTTGAACGCACGAACAATAAATGAGAATTCGAATAACAGCTCATTTTGCAGATCCAACTTCAAAGTTTATCAGCGTGAACGAAGGAGCGGGAAGCTTCAAGCGATTCTAACCCTGCTCGTAAAACAGATGTATTTGGAGAAGTAATTATTCACTGCCTATTCGTTTTAAATAAGCTCTGCATGAATTAGAAAATCAATGGAACGGAATAAAATCAGGTATTTTATAGACTCAGAAATTTACCTTTCTACATGCTGTTATTCTAAATCCACTATGTAGCAATTATCTTTTTCTTGTGTAGGTATATTGACCGCCAAATGCAAAGAACGGAAGCTATTCTAGAACTTACGATATGAGTTACGTGAGAGTTTGACTTTGCCTCGCAAATCGCGATCCCGTGGTGGAATCATCATTGCCATACTCGCGATTGAAACCCTCGACTGCGTTAGCGCAGGGGTTTGTCGCAGAAGCCCTGCAATTCAGGCTGCTGGGCAATCACAGAGCGCAGTGCATAAATTGAGCAGACCGCTGGCTTACTAGCTGATCAATTCCAGGAGACCGAGTTCACTCGCCACGCGCCTCGTGGATTTTCACATGATGGAAAATTCAGTGAATACTACACCATATTTACATCATGTAAAATAATTGTGACTAAAGAGTAATATTTCCTCGTATGTTTCAACATATTTAAAAATGAAGCTATTTCAAGTTATTTTACTTTTTGTTTTGTTTTTTGCACATTTTTTATTTCTAATATTATTTACTTTATTGGAGCACAGAGGCAAGCCAAAAATGCCTTATGCAGAATTAAATACTTATGATTTAAAAAACTACTCCCAATATTTCATTTTGTAATAAAGACGTGAGTTCTTTAAACACAAGAGACATGGAAATTTCACATCGTTCACCACCTCAAGAAAACACAAACCGTTATTTAATTTACTTTTTTAATAGTAAATCAAAAATTATCACTCCGCCGCGAAATAATTTTCCAGGTTCAAGGAACTATTATCAAGCTAGTATTTATATTAGCTTAAAGAAAAAGTGTATTCTAATAAAAAGTGTATTACCGATAAGCAGAAAGTTCGCTTTTCACCTGCAAGTTCTACTATTATCAGGATAATTACAACCTACGCGAGTCCAATTTGGGGAAGAGATGCTCTGTCCAACCTCAAACGTTCCTTGAAACATTATTGCCATCACACAATATCGCCCCACCCCGGTATTTATGCAACATGTCTAGAGAACTGGACATAAACCCGATATAGCAACGCCACTCTCAATGAGAAAGTTTTCACAAATTTGGAAGACGCACTGAACATTTTAACTTAGGAAAATACAGAAGCTCATCACTCAGAATTAATTCATGTGATTTCCCAAAGCCAGATTTCGCTCACTTTAAAATTCTCCTTTACAACCCGGAAATCTCCCCTCCCTCTCATTCATAATCTTATGTTCTTCTCCTCTATCTCATGTCTTCCCCTGAAAAAAATTATTTCTCAATTAACTGTTTGGATAAAACACTAATTCTTAATCACATTTTACGTCTTCTTCTAGCAATTGTGTGCTTTACTACTCCAAATAAAATTGTAGTCGACATTCCTTTACCTGCAAAGTGGACTAACATGTCGTTTGGTAATCAAATAAGTAATATAAAAAAAACAAATAAAATTTTAAAAACAAATAAAATTTTAAAAATAAATAAATTAAATAAAGTAAATAAAGTGAATAAAGTGAATAAAGTGAATAAAGTGAATAAAGTGAATAAAGTGAATAAAGCAAATAAAGAAATAAAGCAAATAAAGCAAATAAAAGCAAATAAAGCAAATAAAGCAAACATGAAAGCAATAAAGCAAATAAAGCAAATAAAGCAGAAATAAAGCAATAAAGCAAATAAAGCACAATAAAGCAAATAAAGCAAATAAAGCAAATAAAGCAAATAAAGCAAATAAAGCAAATAAAGCAATAAATAAAGCAAGCAATAACAAATAAAGCAAATAAAGCAATAAAGCAAATAAGCAAATAAGCAAATAAAGCAAATAAAGCAAATAAAGCAATAGCAAATAAAGCAAATAAAGCAAATAAAGCAAATAAAGCAATTAAAGCAAAAATAAAGCAAATAAAAGCAAATAAAGCAAATAAAGCAAAAATAAAGCAAATAAAGCAATAAAGCAAACAAATAAAGCAAATAAAGCAAATAAAGCAAATAAAGCAAATAAAGCAAATAAAGCAAATAATAAATTAGCAAATAATAAAGCAAATAATAAAGCAAATAATAAAGCAAATAATAAAGCAAATAATAAAGCAAATAAAGTAAATAAATAAAAACTGGAATAGAAACGGTAATTTTTCTTTGCATTCGCGCGGCTAAGTAACAACATGCTTACTGACGCCGTGCGCAAAGGCAAAGGCAAATGCGCCCACCTGCTGAGGTCTTGCACTCCGAAGGCGAGCATGGCGGCCGCCAGGAGCACGCACGCCAGGTACACCACGCACAGCCAGGTGAGGCGCGCGGCGGGCGGCGGCGGGTGGGGCGCGTCGGCCGCGATGTCTCCGCACAGCGACGCGCCGCACGTCCCCGCCCCCGGCCCCGCCCCCACGGCGGACCACGTCGCGTTGAAGAGCGCCGGCGTCTCGTTGGCGGCAGGCGTCGGCACTGGGATCGGCTCCTCCAACCCCGCGGACAGCACTGGGGGCAGCAGAGGGAGCAGTCAGGGCCTTTGAGTGCTTTGCCTTGGCCCCTTGACCAATTGCCAATTGCTTTGCTTGTGGATTATACATGCAGCTTCTTCTCTTACCTCCCGCCGAACCTCACGTTTTCTGTTCTACTGCTCTTTTATCTTAAATAAATAAGCGAATTTTTTTCTGCCGTTTCTTTCTAATGTATTTCAGGGGTATTTTACGGTACCTTTAATATCACAATTCATCTCTCATGGCAATGCGTTATAATTGTTTTTGTCTCCTTGAGTTCTTTAGAACCAATGGTAATGGAAAAATGATGCGAGTATAAAAAGTATTCGTACAGAAGCGCATTTTTAACAGTTATTGTAACTATTACGCAATAATTAATTTATTATTAATTCATATTTTCAACACGATAAATGTACGTAAATCAACATGAAGATGACAACATAAACATCATGAATGTAATAACAAATCAGATAACAAAGAAGTTGAGAGCATGTGAAAATATTAATTGTTAGAAATTGTTTAATGAAGGTTTTCTTTCTATAACGTCAAAATATTGAAGGCTTGCACTTAACTCCATTCTGCAATGTTAAGGCTTCCTGCGAATTATCGTGTATTGTTCATGACAGCAGTGTTCCGAGACAATGGAGAAACTATGCAAGGAAGCTTGCCTTGTGTTCATATGCGGGGTGGGTCTCCCTTTGTATGTTTAGTACGTCCTGTAATGAGCCCATTGACTAAACACCGAACATTGATTGAATTGTTATTTCTTGTTTCCGGGTGCGGCAGTTGTTATGATAATTAGTTCCGTAAGTGTGTTAAATAATTTTTAATCGCGGGAGGTGACAGTGTTCTTTCCCTATTGGATGGTGGGATCCGGCGCCGACTTACACATGGTCGTGTGGTTTCCCCCACCCAAAAATCTTCCTCCAGCGGGGCGCCGCCCCAGCCCGGACACGCTCTAAGCTCCCGACTGCACTCCCGACTTCTGTGGTAGTGTAGAGCATTTAAAAGGTAGTGTGTGTGTGTGAGTATAAAAGCTTGTAGAGCATGGAAGAGGAAAGAAAGATCGCGCATGGTGCGTGACCCGTTTGTTAGGGCACTGCTTCGGCATTAGCGTGGTATTGTTCAGAGAAATCACGGAAAACTATCGATTATAGTAGCCGACCGCTAGAATTTTCCTCTAGCCAGAGACGAAAGAATTCGACTTAGCTCTGTAAATAGTGTTGAAAATCCGGCCACCGTCGGGACTCTAACAGTACAACCTCCCGATCAGAGACACTGCAGTGACATCAATTGATACCCTGAGCCACCTAACCTGGTGCTCTCTGAAAAGTTTGAAAGGAGTTCGTAACCTTACGTAATAAATCATGTTATTTCTGTCAATAAGTTTAATCCCTGATTTCATTCTTTTTAAGCTGATAACTTGAGGAATTATACGGCTGTTGGGGGGAAAGACTTATCCAAGCTCCCTCACAATCTTGTAAATGGTAAAATCAACTGAATTTATTAATTATATTATTAAAACCTCAGTTAAATATTTTATTTATTACTTTGTCGGTACCGCTTATGAACTAGAGAGAATGCTGCGCGACAAACGGCAGAAAAACTTTGGACAGAAAAACTCTTATTACAGGGCCCTAGTAAAGAAAAAGTGGATAAATCCAGTAGCTAAATTAACACGATAATCTAATTCGTAATGAAGCCAGAATTCATTTTTGTGGGCCCTTGTTACCGACAAATGGAATGATGTCAAAACGCCTGTCTGTCCGTCAGTCTGTGAACAACGCTAGTGGCTAAACTGTTCAGCCAAGTTTCGCCAACATTGGTATTCCCCAATTGATCTGACTGATGTCGCTTCTCCTTAAATTTGAAACCGATATTTGCATTTTGGGAGGTACTTTACAAAAAGCCCATGGTAAATTCCTTTTCAAAATTTAAAAAAATGTCTCCATCGTTTTGTTGTTGGATAGTGTAAATGATGTTTAAGAGAATGGTGGAGGTCTAATTTTCGTTGACAACTTTGTTTTTTCTTTAAAATTAAACTTCTTTTTTACGAAAATTCAATTTTTTAAATGTCTTCCCACAACTACATTTTTTCTTTAATGAAATATGTTATGAAATAGGGTCATGCACACTTTTTCGAAACTTTGAGTACTCTTCGCGTAATTTTACGTGGAAGTACGCGCTGTTTTACCACCGCTAGTTTGCTGGTAATGGACGTGCCCGGAAGCCTGAATCGATGCTCCTGGGCACCGGAAGCCCAGCGCCCGGATCGGCCCGCGCCGCCGCGAGGCGCCACTCACCGAGCGAGGAGACGAGGTTGCCGGACACCTGGTTGAGCTGGTAGACGGTGTAGAAGAGGCTGTAGAGGCGCGCGGTGGCGGCCTCCACGTCAGCGGCCGCGGCGTCGCGAGCGCGCGCCGAGCGCTCGCCGGCCAGCGAGGTGTAGGTGGAGAGCGCGCACCACGCGGGGCCCGCGCCCGCGCCCGCCACCAGCGCGCCGGGCACCAGCGTGTAGAACTCGGCGTGTAGGTTGGCCGCCATGAAGGGCGCGTACGCCACCGCGCACAGCGCCATCGTCCACTTGCAGCCCAGCTTCCTGCCGCCGCACACGCGATTCCAATTTATTGTCATAGCAGCGAATGGCCTTGTCGACACAAATCTAAAGTGTTCTTTGGGAGAACCAGAAGCGCACACAAGCTTTTGGGTTCCCCAAAAGAAGCACGTCATTAAGAAATAAAATACTCTACTGTAGCTCTCCAATAAATTAATATTTAAACAAAAACGTCTTCACGAATACTTCAATAACATAGTATCGTACACAAGTACATACAGTACAACAGCTCATTATTGTGATAAGCCAGAAAGATCCCATTTTTAATACAATGAACGGCATATTATTATTATTATTATTATTATTATTAGTAATATTAATATTAATAATAATAATAATAATAATAATAATAATAATAATAATAATAATAATAATAACAACAACAACAACAACAACAACAATGTCTTTATGGCGAGGCTCAGGTCATAGGGCCTACTCTTCCGCCTAACCACTGAATTTACATAAATATATAGAAACATTTTAAGAGGGGAGGACAAGGTGTACATTTACGTCTTTACGTCTGGGAGAACAAAACTGGGCATCGAGATATTTGTTGTAATTTACACATTCAGAATGTGCTTAAGTCAAAGAAAACAGGTTGTCATGACGACCAGTAAATAAACAAGCCTCGAGAGGACGAACAAATATGGTGACATGCCGAAACAAGAAGCAAAGTGTCGAGAAATGAAAACAAAACAATATATGCGGTTTAAGAGTAATAGTGCTAAAATAATTGAATGATTTGAATAATTGAATGATTTTCAGTTTCAATTGAAATAAATGAAATATTCAATAATTACAAAGTTCAACATCATTCAATTGAATTAACTTTTCCTGAATGTTCATGAATTTCAATCTTGTGAAAATCATGAATGACCGTGTTGAAACAATGAATGAAATTATTGAAATTGAATTATTATTAATAATTATTTTATTCATTTTAATTAATAAAATTGAAGTTTAATAATTCGACTAATTTCATTCAATGATCATTAATTATTTATGATTATCCATTATTTATGATAACTAATTATGATATGATTGTGATTGTGATTAATGATTACGACTAATGAAGTCGTAGGCTTCCGCGACCAGAGTCATGTGGGTGATCTGGGCTGTCCGGGTGACGCCGCGTCGAAGGCTGAGTTGCCGACGTTTCGACCATCCTGTCGTGGTCTTCCTCAGGGTTGGTATGCTGGCAGCCTTCGACGCGGCGTCACCCGGACAGCCCAGATCACCCACGATTACGACTAATGTAATATCACAAATTCAATTGATCATTAATTCATTATTTAATTTGATTGATTAATTTCATTCAAAATTAATAATTAATTATTAACGAATTATACTTATTAGAATTTTTAGTACTTATTGGATTAGACAAATGGGGAGACTTCCAGAAAGAAATATAACTCTGCAAGGTTTCTTTAGTGCTGGAGGAGGTTGGCGGTGGCGGTGATGCTAGTGGAGACGCGAGGGAGATGGGTGACAGTGGCGGCAGTCGTCCTTTGTTTGACTGTGTGATAAGAGACCACTTTAATAGAACATGATAGATGTACAATGTTCATCCAGGTATCTCAATTTTCTTCTGAAAGGCAATCTAAGTGAGTTTGAACACCGGTCTACTGGCCAATCAAAGAGGAGGAAAAAATTATCACATTCTTTGGAAAATTTTGTGCATCCTCTTCGGTCACTGACATTCGGAAAATAAATTTTTGGTGAATCAGTGTGTTCTCCCTCAGGTGGAACTGGCTGTGGAAATTTTCCGTCCATTTGCCATCACTTTGTGGGCCAGATCTATAGCATGTCTGCACTTCCTTTTGACTGCCTGCGTAATCAGTCGGTTCCAGGTAACAATGTTCAAAGGAAAAAGGCCAAGACAAACAAGATAAATATGTCTGAAAGACAGTCCAAAAATCAGGAAGGCCAATACAGATAGTACCAACACATTGATCAAATGTATTAAAAACTCCAAACGAAAGATAGTATAAATATTTGTGTGACAAGTCCGATTGTTTAAAAAAGAGACGCAGTGCAAAAAGAATTCGAATGGTAGAAATTTGTTTATGAGGATATATAATGTCTTGTCTGAACCTTTTAATATTTAATAATCTTCGTTTCCGACATCTTCAGCACTGATTTATAATTTCAATCCGTAAGCGATTTGCAGCAAGAAAACTTTAATAATTATCTCACGATTCCTGTCGTTCCTAAGGGGACATTGCCAGAGAAGAGCACCTTCGCGCTCACCGAATGTCAAATTCGTGTCTTCTCGGTTATCGCGGGCATCGTTGTTCTCGGTGTAGGGATTAATTATTCATATCGTTTCCAAGAGATTATTCTCTTCACTTCAAGTACGTATATTATTCCGTATATACGTACGTATACGAGGAAGTAAATATTAGAATGACACGAGAAATTTATTTCGTGATCTTAATGGAAATACATGTTTTGTGGTTCTTTGATACCGAATAAATGTTTTTTAAAAACATCCACTCGTCGCTCCGTACGTCAGTATGTTAGCCTCTTCGTTCTGCGCACCAATGTCGGTGCTTAAACTATTCATAGGGCTTTTCCAAAATGAAAATGCCACGATCGATCTGAATCCTGATCGATAATTGCAAAATATCAATGTTTCAAGAGTACAATATTGATTTAATTTTTTTCGTAAATAAAATCTGTTCTAAAAATAAAAAAGGTCAATTTTTAAGAGTATTTTCTCGTAGTTTTGGCTTGAAGAAAATGGGGTTGAGGAAATTTCTACCTTTTTCTAAAAAGTGACACCATTTTTGTTCACCTCTCTGAATTTCCAAAAATGGCAAAAGTTACAGATAATGCGGGCAGGTAAAGTGTACTTCAACGACAAGAATTAATATTCGAGAAACAAATATTAAAGATTCCTGTTTTTCTTAATTGCTTAATCTTTCCAAGTGACACGAATGTTTCATGTCATTTTAATCTGGCGTTTTTTTTAAATTTTTACTTTGTATACTGTAGTAAAAGAACGAAAACAATATAATCTCCAATTCTTGGTCGTAAAATCTTTGTTTACGGTTTTTTTGAGCCATAACTCTGTACACATTTTGGTCTATTAGTGCTGTTTCAAAGATGGTTATGATTTGGGCAGGGGGTGAAGAGATACACGCAATGTTTTACCCGCAAATGAATGGATGGATAGATGGATGGCGGATGCTTGTGTCACGCTTAGCTCTATCGGATTAGAAGCTTTTTAGGTGAAGGTCGAAAAAAACTCAGAACTAAGATCTAGTTGTGCCGTGTCGGAGACCATTAAGATATTTTAATTTTGGGGGTACTATATAGGAAGCCCCAGTGACTATTCAACATTCTCATTTTCTCAAAAATGACTGCACAATTTTTCTTAAAGTAATTTTTGTACGAGAAGAAGAAATTGCAAATATAAAAATAGTGTTTCCATTTCCAATAAAACTTCTAAAATTTTGAAAATTGTGAATGTTCAAATTTATTTTCGAACCTGCCCTACACATCCAATTTTATAGACAGATATTTTCCTCAATGAAACTCACCTCATAGTTTTTAATCGCACTTTTTTGAAAAGATTTTGGTGAGGAATAACACAAAAGGTGTAGAAGTTTCAATATACCGAGAAGTCAGAATACTCCGCCTACTGAAATTTTAACTGTTTACTCGATATATTGAAACTTTTTATAAGGAATATGAACTTTATTCATTATTATTATTATTATTATTATTATTATTTATTATTATCATCATTATTTATTATTATTATTATTATTATTATTTTAAGCTCTTGCTCAATAACTAGAATTTGGCTGCATAAGTATTACATATATTGCGAATATAATTTATAGACAGCCTTAATATCTGTTATTTTTTTCTGTACGTACATCATACATTCTGTTCTACGTAAACTAAATTGTGATAATTGACTCATTCATTGTTTTGATACCTTCTGATGCAATAAACACGTCTTTTCCCTTGTGTCAATGATAATTGTAAATGCCTTCTATTATTTGTGATTCTTTAGTGAAGAATCAATGTTCGTAAAGTTTAATAAATTAATAAACAGAAATCCGCTTCAAAATTCGTCCACACAAGTCATTCTCTAAATGGATGGAGATAACCTAGATGGCTAAAAGACGCGAATGGAAATGAATAGGAGCTCCTCGTGATACTTGCTTCTCTTGCGAAGTTGAACTCGCAGAACTGGGGAAAACTTCGACGATGATCTTGGAGCAAATTCCTTCCAAGGGGAAGATCCATAGCTCTGGTGTCTTCGATATCTAACCAAATTGACCCCCTACACCATGTCTAGTTGCTTGCCAAAATATACTTAACGGTTTCGGTCGATATGCTATGGAAGTCCTTTATGGTAGAGAGCATTAATATTCCTTAACAAGAAAAGTTAATTTTTTTTATTTTCGAAGTACTTAGTACATCTAGTTTTATGCTTTGAAGTAATGATTGTATTAATTTATTTCGGATGTTTCTACCTTTATGTATACTAGTTGAGCTCTAACGATTACATATCACAAAAGGTAGAATTATGAAAACGTGACAATAGAAAAGTACAACATACGCTGTAGGCATTACGTTTACTCAATAAGCTTTGCATTTAAAAACACTCAATCTTTTAACTTAAAAAATCTCGCTATCTTCCTTTCTTGAACCCTACCAACTCCCACGCGTATGCTCACGCTAGACATAGCACTTCCTTGGCGCAACCAAATCACGTTGTGAACAAATGATGGCAGATGAGCGCTCATTCTATTAACTTTACGGGTTTACTATTAAACGATAACTTAATGTGTTTACTATTAAACCGGTTAACAATAGCTAGTGATAATACGCCTGCGATCCACTACTTTTCATTTATAGCCAAAACTACACAATTTTGTTCAGTAGATATCGCAAATTTTTTCTAAACAATAATTATTAATGTTTTAAATATAAAAAGTTCCTTTTGTTTTGTAAAATATTGAGCGTTGCACAAATTGTCTAGAATATATTGTACTAGTTGCATTGCAATGTGCTCAATTTAGGAATTATTTTGATTGATATGTTTAAAACAACTAATTACTGGATAGAGATAACATACCCCCGCGGGTTTTCAGTACAGAACTGCCTTAGCCGCTTACTATTCGTCTGCCTCAGAATATTGCGAAGAACAGACGTATCGAGCTTGCGAAGCGCCGCTACGTTTCTTGTGAAAATGATAATGAAAGTCACGGGTTGTTGGATTCGAGTATAGCCGAATGTCATCATTGCACGTGATGTTATCTAACCAGCCCCATCCGATTGTTAATGAATGAAGAGGAAATGATGTAAGATTTTTAATTCATCCGCCTTTGCAATATTTACGAATTGGCTCTTTCACATCTCGTATTCACTCAAACGTGTAGGATCGGATTTACAAGTAAATGAAGTGTTTGGTGCAAATGGGCAGTATCTTTCGAAACGTGCCAAAATGGTTGCTTTTAAAGAAAAAAAAAATAGAATCACATTTGTTACTGGAAAGGAGTAAATTGTGAAAACGTGTGGTAACAATTGGTGGTTTAAATAGACTTAATTCCTCCGTTAGATAAGTCGGAGCCACCCGTACTGAGAAGAGATGAAAGCATCGTTTATGGACAACTACTGCAATTCTGTATTCAATACTTAAATAATAAAATAAAGAAATAAAAATTATAATCTAAGATATTGAAATCAATTTGTGAGAAATAAAAAGAAACTCCCTAAAATATTTCTTAATGTTTATATTAATAGCGACAATATGAATTGTTATAATATGTTGTAACCATTCGAAAATATACATTCTAGAAATATACATTTAAGAATTTGTGTTCAAATGCATACGATATTTAAATTAGTTTCTACGTCTCGTAGAAAGTTTGAGTAACTGTTTTCCTTTTAGGATGATTTCAAATTATTCTGTGTATATAAAATTGGTAAGAGTCTAAACAGTTGATAATAATTGGAATTTTGAACAGACGTTTGAACATCGCATTAACACGATATTTTAACTCAATATTTTGAAAAGATATATCATATTAGGCAAGTATACTTTATATTACATTGATGTTAAGTAGAATGTTAATATTTGTAATGTACGCGGAAGACTTACGTATTGCGACCAATGTTCCTACCCTATTCTCCCCTAATTCATCTCAGTTAACGTTACTTCTTAACCGCAACCTGTCACCGCAGAGAATGGCTCTGTGGTCTTTCAATGATTGTGAACAGTCCTACCATTTCCAACAACTCCTTGTGTCCTTGGATGCGGTCAAGGTGCCACCATGGGTTTGTCTCCTGAAGGGCACTTTCATGTGACCTCAACTTGACACAGGCATTGTTAAAACCAGGAAGTATTATTGCTAGGTAACATTCGAATTCACGATCATATGATCGAGAGGAAATGAATCTATTGTTCCCAGTTTCTTGCGACGCATGATCCTTTAAAATTCTCTGCTAAAAATAAAATAGTTAATATAAAATTTACAAGCCTGAAGCAAACGATTGTAGGATTAATACAATGAACAATATTCTTGTACAAGGTTTTAGTGTGTATCCTGAAGGAGTATGTTGAACCAAAGATAACAAGAACGGTTTTAGAAAACCAGTCTAAACGTGTCCTAAACGAACATCGTAGCAAACATCATGAATTCGAAGTCAAAACATGCACTTCGGTTTCACAGAAATAATTACACAAGAAAATAGCTCCCGATTACGGCACTTATCATTACAGAATTATTCCATAGATTATTGCTGGAAAATAGAGTATTATACGTTCCACGACCGGAACGTAACATCGAAGTGCGAAAGAATTGTGAATTGTGAGAAGAAGGTAATTCTCTCTTCCTTTTAGATTTGGAAACAATGGAAGAATGTATTGCAGTCTAAGTATTCAGAGCGAAACTTCACAGTTGTCAGCTCTTTGAATGATAGACTGCAATCTGGACATGAAATTTTACGGTATGAGAGGGTTGCAGCTACTACAAAAGAGGCCCTGATAGTGTCAGAATCAAGGCGACGTAGAAACGTTATAAGAAACAAAAGGCGTGCTTTTGCAAAAACTAAACTCTCTGGAGGTCATCAGACCTGAAAAACCTTTCTACATTACTTCTCGACAATTTATTGAACAATCAGTGTGTTTTTATATTTAACAATTTCCCTTCATATTGAGTTACTTGAAACAACCCTTTTAAAAATTGTATTAACTGATCTCTCTCTCTCTCTCTCTCTCTCTCTCTCTCTTATATATATATATATATATATATATATATATATATATATCAAACTCTAAAATATAAGTTTTGTAATATTCACAAATATTGTGATCGAAAAGTTTTGTTTGTATTGATGCATATTGTTTTGTGTTTATGTGAAGGATATCGGTAGTAAGATGTTTAATGGACACAGCTTCAGTCAAGTGTTTTGCCATTGTTGCCTAAGTACGTTTGTGTAAAAATAAAGTGAGTATCTCATATGCTTTGTAACAAAACCAAAACCGCAAGTCTAAAACGTTCATGAGTATTTTTCTCTCTGTTTTTTCTCCCTTTAACTAGTACGTATGTGACTCGTGTCCGGAAGCGGAAAGCTCTCTGAATGCCATGGCTGTGGAAACAATGCTGAGGTACAGGAAGTAGACATTTGTTTTTGAGTGCATCTGTTAAAAAACATGGCTTCCACTCTCGACATTAACTTTTTCTAGAAATAATGCCTTTGAAAAAACACTTTTATTTCTTTGAAGTTAATGAAGTCTTCTACCAGATCTCACATATAGTGCATATTACACGCACTTGGAAAATGCCTCGAATATAATAATGGCGTTTTAAGTTTAATTATCTTGCGGAACGTAATATGGAAGTGTGAGAATTTTTCTCTTTTTAGTGATTTAGTCTGTACGGAAAAAAGTTCTTTGTCTACATGGATGACTGCAAAACACATATTCACCTTCTAAAATGGAATAAAATATTTTCTAATATTTATGTTGCATACATATTTCATTGTCTAAGATATTAAATGTAAATCAAAGCATGAACACTGAATGTATGTAGTTCATGAATTCGTTGATTGTGAATATCAAATATACATTCATTTTGCTGTATATAGTTCTGTCGTGGCATCTGAAATCCACAGAAGAAAAAACAATATTTTATATATTTCGACTAACGTGAGGTTCTAGTTACTGAACAATGCAACAAGGAATCTAAAGTGGCATAATGTTTGAGAAATCGAGTAATTCGAGTTCTTGAAGTTCGAGTTTTCGAGGTTCTGTATTTATGCAAGACATTTTTTTACATTAGCACTTTTCTGTGAGAAAACCGTGTTTTTGTCCGCAGATGCTATCTTCGCCTCATTGTCTCGACGCTTTTAGAATGACAGGGCGCTCGGCTAGCGAGACCTGCATTTATCTCTACATCCACTTTGTAACATAACAGCTGGCGTTACGCTAGAGCGGGCCAGAGCGCCAGCGGCTGCTTTGAAGGGATGGGCTCGCCGCGGCGGGCGTGGGCTGCGCTAGCGTCAGAGGCGATGACCGCGGGGGTAGCAGCGATGATGCCAGCGGCAGTGGCAGCGGCAGCGTTGGTGGTGGTGGTTGTGACGGGGAAATAATAAGCAGGGTGATGCGGGCGGCCTGACAGGTGGGGGAGGGGGGTGAAACGGCGCGATGACAGAAAAGAGGAGGAGTGTTATGCTGCGGTGGTCAATTGGCAAGGTAGTGGCGGCCGCGAGATGACAGTTACGTTCGCGGGTGGCGGCGGTGGCGGCGGCGGCGGGCGGCCTTGCCACACGCAACCCGTGGCCGAGGTCTATGTCGCTTCCGCTGTCGCCACGGTTGAGGCCACGCGATGCACAACCGCGGCTGGCACCCGCTAACAGCTGTGCAAACATCCCATATCAAAATGGGTGGCAGATAACGATGTTTTATGGGACTATTCTCGTCGATACGAAATGTAATGGATAAATTTATTTGAACGGCGACTTCATCACGGCAAGGAAAAATACATTTCTAAAATAATATTAAAATCTTGAACACGTTTCTTTTCAGGAAGCGAGTGTAGACAACGATTCGATTTGAGTTTAAACAAGCAGAATTACGCCACGCCGCCGTATTCCCGCTCCTTCAGCACTGCCTTTTCTTTTCGATCCGCAATGGCCCCTTTGTTGTCGTCTCCTCGCTCAGCACTAGTTTCGTCCCGTTTATATCCCGCGCCGCCCACTTGTTCTGTCCTGCTCGACCCCGTCTCACCCAGCAACAATGAAGCTCGGGTGGATTGGGAATTGCATTTAACTGAAGCGCCATCTTGTGGAGCTACAACAAAATGAACAGCATGAAAAAACACTATGATATTAACTTTTAGGGAGATCGGTCAAATCTTTTTTATTACCTTTTATTATTAATATTTATAGGTGTTTTTTACACCTTAGCCTAAATGCAAATATAAGGGTAAGATTTTAGTTATACTAATGAAACACTAGCACTACACAAGATTGGTATAGTGACGATTTTTACTTAATGAAGGCCTCAGAACTTAGCTGTTAAAGGACGAGCTTAATATTTCCCATAGCATTTGATAATAGTATCTTAAAAGGATAATCTGGGAGAATTAGAATGTAAAAGAAGAAAACAATCTTTAAGTTACAATATCGCGTATTTTTCGCAATTCGAGAATATGATAAGTCTATTCTTATCATTTCAGTTATTACGAACAGAAAGTTGACAATCATGTACTAGAATCTTTGTGCTCCCGTCTCTGAAGAATATATACTTCACATTGAAAGGCAGTTCATTTTGAACATTTAGAGCGATATTATGAAACTAAGAGGGATAAAATTTGAAACACAGTGTAATAAAATAGATGTTAATTAAAGCCATTAGGGTTTAGATAAAAACGAATCTCTGACGCCGTCACAATCAGAGATTTTACCTTCTGTAGCTCTTACATTATCGTACGAATTACTCTAGTACCATAATTATTTCACACATAATTGAGGGAAAATAATCAAAACTTTATTTTATTTTATTTGTTTTATAATTTTCATGAAGAATACTTTTTGTAAATAGTTATTTTCGTAAATACAAAAGGGACAATTTATAAATGAAACTAATAATTATTTTAACAAGTTCCGGAAATTAGCTGCAAGAAATTAAAAAATTCAATAAAATTCTCATAATTCCGATGTCATCAAACATAGACATCTAAAATTTCCGCTACTCTATAGAGGAAACCCACATTTATTTTTCAACGCATTCCGAATACTAATATCAAATATTCAATGTTGGAGAGCATTAACTGTTAAATAAACAACGTGTAATCTCTTCCAAATGCAAGCAAACGCTTTTGTTGCCGGGCAGCACACTGGGCCTCCCGAAGGGACATCGTGCTTTACACGCTCTCGCCAGCCTGTCCGGTTCTTCCTATCCTCCCCGTGCCCTTCCAGTCCCTCCCGAGACTTCTCTACTCTTTTCTTGTCACAAACGATGCTCTTCTAGCACCCTCCAGAGCCCTCCCGGACGGTGCTGTGTCCCGCCCGCTCCCATCACCCACACTTCTCCACCCCGCTTAGCGTCCTCCCTACCTCACCATCTTCCCTGTTTCCTCATCACTCTCCGATGTCTCCGCGTTTTCTATCCTCCGCACCCTCTTCGTCCTACCTGAAAATTCCATCATCCGTAACTTTTTTTCCTCACTACCATTCCTGCTCATTCTTCTTTATTCTTCCAATCATCTCCGAACTCCATTCATCCCTAGCCTCACCGACCTCCCGTCATCCTCGTCATCTTTATTACCCCATCCTCACCATCATCCCCGTCCCCTCCGTCGTTCTCATCCTCTCCGATCTCCTCTGCCGCCACCTTCATTCTCTCCGCCCTCTCTGTTCATATCTCTTTCTCAGCTCTCTACCCTCCCCCCTCTCTCCCTCTCTCTGCTCTCCTCGCACTCTGTCCTCCCCGCCCTCTCTCCTCCACTTCTTTATTTTCCCCTTTTATCTTCATCGTTCCCCCTATCGGTTTCCTGCTCATGTCGCCTATCCATTCTCCGCGTTATCCTCTGCCTCTCCTTCCTCTAGCTCTGGTCGTGCCCGCGGTTCGCATGTGAAACGCGGCGGGGACGGGGCGAGGCGCGGGGAGGGGGTCGCGTTTGCCACCGCCCGGCTTGACGAGATTACGCGTCGGATCGTTCTGCTCACGCGCGCTGACCGGCTGGCGCGCGGCACGCCTGCCGCTTAACCTCCGCCCTCCTCGCCTCCGCCTCGCTGGTTCCGCCTCGACCTCCGCCTGCCCTCCGCGTCCGCCCTCGCTCCGGCTCGCCTCCCCCGTCCGCCTCCGGCCCTCGCCCTCCCTGTGGGCACGGGCCGCCTCTCGGGCGTGGCGATGACCTCCAAATCTCATTGGGGTTGCGGATTGTACTGGTACTTCTTCATTTCCTTTCACGGAGCGACGGATGAAGACTCTGGCGTCGTTCCTGTCAACTCTTGTGTGACTGATTACAGCGATGATGATTCGTTGATTGATGATTGCAGGCACGTCAACAGCTTTGGGCATCTGTCCCCTTAGTGTATGGAATGTTTTATCATGGGAGATGGTGTTGTTCCCCCCTCGATGGATGGTGAGATCCTGTAAGTCGAATTGTGGGGAATTTCCTTCTCGAGGTATTTCCTCCAAGGGGCACGGAAGCAGCCGCGAGAAGCCCTAAGCGCCCGACCAGTGTCCCCTCTTATGTAGTAGTGTAGTGCATGTAAATATAAGGATGTGAATAAGGCAAGGAAGAAAAAGATCGCACGCGGTCCATGGCCCGTTTGCTAGGGTAGAGCTCCCACATTCGCGTAATATTTTTCGGAAAACGCCCAAAAAAATACCGATCCAGGAAGCGGCTGCTAGAATTCTCTTCCAAACAGGAACAGAATTCTTCTCAGCTCTTCAGGTAGTGTCGAAAATCCACAAACGGCGGTCTCTAATTTGACAGACCTGGAGTGACAGAAAAAGAAGTACTGACAGAACTCTAGACAGATGAAAGATTAGAAACTGACGATGCGGTTCATTAGTCTTGTATTTTCTTGCTTTCTCGTGATGGACTGAAAAGAAATCACGGGACTCCATGATTCACTTGGTCGTTGATATCATCCAGTGGAGCTAATTGGATACTAGAGAAACTATATTTTACTGTTTGAAATGGCAATGAAACCGAATGTGCTTATTAGGTCCCTTGGAAAAGGAACGTATATGTTTATGAATGATTTTCAATCAATGAGACGTATCTTACCAAACAATAGTGACCAGATAACATTTAATTAATTAATCCTTTAGATAATTTAACTCAATCTTCTGCAATCCAAATTTTATCGTCAGCCCTCCAACTTTCATGGACGTTTCTCAAGGTGATATGTGGATGAATAGAAATTAAGAGAGAAGGTAACAGACTTACGTTTTTTAATCGTCTGCACGAGAATGCGTTACCTCAGTTTGTAAAACTCACAGCAGAGAAGTATTTTTGTTGAATTTTGCTTTATTGAATTACATTAATTTAAAATGTGTCTGTAAAATGGCTTTTCTTGCGTATTCGTGTAATTAAATCGTCGCACTCTGACCACGTAATGCAGAGACGTTATTGACATTCTCCTACCGCCCGCCTTTCAAACCGAAGCGTGAAAGCTTTTTGTCCGAGCAGGGGCCATTCCACCGCCACGCAAAAGTGGCCTTAAGGCTGGTCACGTCGCCCGCGCTGACGAGATTACCGCTTGCCCTGACCGCGCCCTGACCGCGAACCGCAGCGCCCGGCCCTCCCCGCTCGGCCCTCTCGCCCCACCTCAACCCTCACCACAGCTCACCGTTCCATATCCCACCGCTTTGCCTCACCCTGCTTCCCTTCACCCCGCTTCACTTAACTACAGTTCACCTTACCCCGCTTCGCTTTACTCCGGTTCACCTTACCCCGCTTTGCCATACCCCGCTTCGCCTTACCCCGCTTCACTTAACTCCGGTTCACCTTACCCCGCTTCGCCATACCCCGCTTCGTCTTACCCCGCTTCACTTCACTCCAGTTCACCTTACCCCGCTTCGCGTTACCCCGCTTCGCCTTACCCCGCTTCGCGCTGCACCGCTTTGGCCTATCCCGCTTTGCCTTTCCCGCTTCGTCTTGGCCCGCTTCGCCTTGCTGCGCTCGGCTTGCCGTGCGTTGCCTCGCCCCTCCCCCCTCCACTTCATCCCGCTCTACCCTCCCAGGCCTGCTGCATTTCCCTTCCATTCCGTTCTGCCCACCCTGCACCGCTTAGCCCCGCCCAGTTTCACCCCGCCCTGCTTCATGTCGCTCCTCTCCGCTCTGTCCCACCCCGCTCCGCCTCGTCCCACCACGCCTGGCCAGATCCTCCCGCCGCTCGCTTCGAACTCTCCCTGACCCACCCAGAGTCTGTCCGTCTAGCCCCTCTGCGTCCTACTTCCTCCTCGCCTCCATCTCGCTCTTATCTGTCGCTCCCCGCTCCGTCCCGCCGCCCGCCACCCAGCCGGCCCAGCCCGGACGCCCGCCGCGCCGACCGCAAGGTCCCGCGGCTTTCACTGGACGCTGGGCTGTTTTTCAGGCCGCCAGGCTGATGTTGTGCCAACTTGGCCCGTGTTTCCTCCTTGTATTGTTGTCTCACCGGCAGAACACAAAATAGAGCGGGATCGGCCGCGGCGGCCAAGGTGGCACTTCCTCTGTGTGGCCCCGCGCGAGGCCAAGGATTTCCGCTTCCCCCGGCGACACGAGCAGATCGTTTCAAAGCCTATGCCATTCATGCTCGGCCTTTTCAAACCAAAACTTCCTACGGATAACAAACTCGGGAAAACGAGAAAAAGGAAATGCACGAGAGGATAATTCTTTTTCAGTAGACAATAAACTAGTATATTCGTAATCACATTACATTCATTGTATTATTTTGTTGCGTGAATGCCTTCATTTTGTTGACAAAGAATGATGTTTTAGTTTCAGTGTATCGCGAGATTAATAGATATATAACAATTGCATTTTTAAAATAACAAATTAAACATGATATAGTGTGTTGAAGATTAAAATTCTCTGGAGACTTACATAAAGTAAAAATAACGTGATTAGTAGAAACTACATTTGATAATATTTTATTAAATATAATTCTTCTTTTCTACGTTGTACATAAATGATTAAAACACATTGAATATCTTAATACAATAAACATATATTTGAAATTATGATTTTCTGAGTGCAATATTCTGAATGAAATAATATAAAATTTTAGCTAAAAGTTTCGTAGTTCCTTTCATTATGATATTTTCATGAATAATTGTAGTAATTTCTGTAACTAAGTAATTCTATAACTATTTATTAATGGTGAACATTAATAGTAATTAATGCATGTTACATCTTAAATGTCTCTTATGATGTAACATGCATATTATAATTATTATTATTATTATTATTATTACTACTATTTAACTTTTTTATTTTTCAACATAATTTATTTTAACATTAACATATTTATTCAACATTAATTTTTGAAGAAAATTACCTTCTGTAAAACATTATTTAGTTTTTAACATACTCCAATACCATCCTGGTGTCAATTCCTATTCCGATTCGTCTACAATTCATGGATGTTCATGAAAAATAATATAGTGTACTCTGGGTTCTGCGATTTCAATATAACTTCGGTAACTTTTCGTAAATCACACAATATTATAACCTTGACAGAACCAATGAATAAGGTCATGAAAACGTAGAACATCTGGTAACCACAAACGTGAGGCGGAAAAGTTTATTAGGAGTAGCTTTACTTTCCCATTTGCGCTAAAAACTGTCATTTGGAAGCATGACTGAACGTAAAATGTACATGAAAGAATTCAAATATGCAGGGTATTGCAAGGCTGCATATTTGTTGACGCTGCAAGAGTCTATACATGAGTCAGCGGACGATATATGATTTCACGAATCGACCTGATCCCGATGCCACTGATTAACATGTAACATCAAATAAATAATTCCTAATTGTATCTTGAAATTTAAGAAATGTTTTGATAGCTAAAGTATGTGAAGAGCTGATAATAGAGGAAAGGTTGCTTTATAATGTTCATGCCTTGGACTTGAATACTCAATATATTGTGTTATGTTGCTTACAGTACATCATGTAATACAGATAATTAAACAGGAGCCTGACAATATGATCAATTCTGAGTGAGTTGAAGATTTTCAGAGAAATTATAGCTTAGAAATGATACGCTACGCTATGATCTCTAGGAAAAGATATACTAATACTAGGGGGCGTATACAACATATGAACGAAAAAATTGAATACGATACTCAGGAATCCTGTGGTGAACATTTGATGACCCTCGTGAATATTGTTTGAAGTAAGTACGGTTAAAATGATAATAAAATCGATGAAATAAGCAAAAATTCATTAAAAATGACGTAAAAAGGAGAAAATGACTTTAGTAACAATCAACGAAAAATGCAAAGAAAATAACATATAAAATAGAGAATTTCATTTTGTAATAACATAAAATGAATTCCTATACTAAATGACATTGTCCTAAAGCGAAAAGAAAAATATGACTTTTTATTAAAATCCGCCTCCTAGTTAATACATAACAGTACATACCGTAACCCATTTAACGTTCGTTGTTTGCACATCATAATATGTAAGGAGCTAAGCGTCAAATGTTTGGAGTAATTAGCGAAATCTCCAGACCACCTGCGTAAGTGCCTGAGCGCTTATTTGAAAACTTGGGGGCTAGTCAATCTTTAAATTGCAATCTAACTCCTTATGATCTGCCGAGATTCAAGGGTGTTCCCTTAAAATTTAGTATTGGTAATGAAGACTCCAAGACCCCGTGTGGAGGCAGTTGAGAGTTTAGCTTATGGAAGCCTTTCATTTTTTTCACAGAATGACTAAGTTAAGACATTTATCTTGTATGTGATACAATTCTACGACACAGTCATTGTGCTTTGGCAAGAAAACTGAAAGGCACAAGTTACTTATAAATTACTATTGATCTATGAATTATAATGGTCTAATATTACCTGATTTTGCACGCATAACTGAGTTCCTTAATTCTTGTTAGGAGAAACTTTTACAAACTATTGAAAATGAAAGATAATAATTTGTAATTAATTTCTTCGATTCCTCGTTTGTAAAATCAGTAAATAGAGGAAATATTTGAAAATGAAATTTATCATTTTGACGTCCGTCATTTATTTGGAGACATTCTTTCAAACGACTGATGAAACACAATGGAACAGAACTCTTTTGGTGGTCTTCTAACAGATTAAAAACAGGTGTGAACGTTGATCATGTATTTGTTAATGTCTGCTTATTTATATCTATTTGTTTATAGCGTTACGTGTTCTGAATAAATGCGCTACTACTGAATTTTTCATTTTATGAACTGCGAATTACAATCAAGGAGACATTCAAAAGTTTTTTTTTTAAAAATCGCATCAACTTCTAGGTCACCATTGCTTGTAACGGTATGGTAACTGTGAGGATGACATGACATGATGATGACAGGGGGTGAAAGGACGAAAACAGTACATCCATGCCCGTGGCGGGACTCGTACACGCGATCCTTCGGTCCGAGATCCCTACGCCACTACTGCCTTAGCGATCTCGGCTATCGGATTGGCTCAAAACTGTTGTTTCGATGGATCGAAATGATTCACGTTAGCGCCATATCCCTGACGCGATTTAAACGACCAAGAAACCGGGTTTCTCCGGTTTCTCCTTAGCTTTCTTGAACATAATTACGAATTTACAAAAGGCCTAAGCGAATAAGATGATGGGATGCATGGTGCCCAGTCGATCGATTTCGCGTCACATTCCTAAGGAGAGATAATCCAAGCGATTTCCCTCGCCATGTGTTCGAAGCTAAGACCAACGGGTTTCGACGCTTCTCCAACCTCTTATGCCACTGGGGGTTACCTTACCCTCCTGAAGGAATATGGAATTGGATAATTTGAAAATTCGCAGAAATGAGTGTTCAATTTCAAATTCTTATTTGAACGAATATTAAAGATAAATGATTAATTTTTTATCGATAGCTTTTAATTAGTTTCAGTTCTTAATACATCTCGGTAAGTGGAAAGTATTCGCGTTCCTGCAAAAACAGTTAAAATCTTTTCGTTTCCTAGTTCTTTTCAGCTACGAAAATGCTGAAGTATGTCTGTTATGAAATCAAGAGCTAAGCAATAAGCATAAAAACTAAGTATTCTGTAGGTAAAATACATGAACTCAAGTATTTTGAAAATACATTTGAATGATAATTGAACGTTTGCAGAGTTCTATTTTCTAGTAAACTTTTAATAGAGCTCAAATTATGCGAATTATGAGATTGACCCGATTCGGATATGCAGAAATTTTGATGTTTTGATAAATCTCATAAATTAATTTTTCCTTTAAAACGATGTTAGACACAATTTCATGAATTATTTTGCTTTAATATGTTAAACAAACGTAAAGCACAGAAAACTGTATATACTTTAGTGTACATAAAAAATGAAACTGGTTATGAATGAATTATGTATGGCAGCAACTTACATTATATTACTCTAAAATATTGAATTAATACATTTTAAAACAATACTTTAAATTTAATTACTATAATTAGCCGAACGCGTCGTCCCAAAGGAAAAACTGTAGATACGTTACAACAGAACATACAACGTATATGCACTATACGCGAAAGGGAAATCCCGTCCAAAATATTGTTTCATGTCACTCAGTACTTATTTTCGATGACTAATGAAATGACGGAGATTCACAAATTATGAAACAATACAATCACTATCCATTGTCAACAAAGAGTTAAGCCTATTGCTCAAAATGTAATTGAAATGTTTTATATTTACCAGGATGTGGACATGTATGCAATAGTAGATTATAGCAGGAAATCCTTCTTCATTTAAAAACGTTATTAAAACACTGAAACTTTTTTTGTGAAGGGACACATGTCTAGGAAGACGTCTCGACATTGCGTTTACATAGAATCACTAATCTTCGCATTGAAAAACTCTCAATTTTTGTTCTTCAAAATCTTGGAATCTTCCCATCGCTAACTATAAGGTAACATTCATACACGCCAGCATACTGTAAACGACAAAAACATGGAATGTTTTCGATCAGACTGATTTCAACTCACACAACCAAAAGATGAAATAAACAACCAACGACATATAAGCATTGATTGTGTTAATTTTAAGATATTATTAAATTTATCATTTATTTTGTAAAATAAGTTAATAATAGCAAGTAATAATTCGTATGGGATTCACTAACTTTCATTTAAAGCAAAAATGATAAAATGTCGTTGAATTGTATGTTTATATTTCTTTCAAAATAAAAAACTCTCACTTGCATACTTAAATTTAATAACTAAATATATCTAAAGCTCCCAAAGTTTTCTGGCGATCCACAAGAAAAATAAGACACGTAACCACAACAATGTTATTTTACTTCATTTCATTACTTTCCTCAATTTTGACATTTTTTGTTTTTACATTTTTATCTCAACTTCGATTCCTATAATTGACAAACCGAATGATTCGGCATCGGGTTATTAAAGTTCTACCAGTTATACTTCTAGTTTGAAATAAAAAGGAATCGAAAGTGTCCTTTCGTAACCGCGTGCGCTTACCGTATCATGACGGCGGGCAGGAAGATGCTGGACGCGATGAAGGCGGCGTAGTAGGCCATGAGGGCGCTGGTGCCGCGGCCGCCCTCCGCGTTGACGGAGCTCTGCAGGTTGGCGGCGCCCTTGAAGGCGGTGAACAGCAGCAGGTAGGCCACGCTCAGCACCACCACGTTGGTGGTGAGGCCGCGCCCGCCGCTCCAGCACCCTCGGCTCGCCTGCTCCGCGCCCTTCGCCGCCTCCACGTCCTTCGCCGACACTACGCTGCCCTTCTTCTCGGCCGGCGCATCCTCCGCCAAGGGCCTCTCCGCCTCCGCCTTCGTCGACTCCGCCTTCGCCGCCTCCGCCTTCGTCGACTCCGCCTTCGTCGACTCCGCCTTCGTCGACTCCGCCTTCGTCGACTCCGCCTTCGCCGCCTCCGCCTTCGCCGCCTCCGCCTTCGCCGCCTCCGCCTTCGCCGCCTCCGCCTTTGCCGCCGCCTCCTTCGCCCCCTCTGCCTTCGCCGCTTCCACCTTCGTCGCCTCCTCCTTCGTCGCCTCCTCCTTCGTCGCCTCCTCCTTCGTCGCCTCCGCCATCACCGTCTCCGCCTTCGACGTCTCAGCATTCGCGTGCGAGCTGCTACTCTCCGTGTCTTCGAACGCCTTGTTCTCCACGCCGCGTTTCTCGCTGTGCAACCCCATGTCGAAGTCTAGGTTGATACTGCAGCTTGATATAACCACACTCGAAAGTAAAGTAATAATTTATTTTTGAAACACGTAACTTTTCGTAAATTATTGGAATCACAGCATACTAGACACTGATGAGTTCAGCAGGAAAGCAAAAATATTTCAATAAGCTATATCATAACATCAGTAAAAATAAAATAAATATCAGAGTTTTTCGTCGCACAGAATAAAATTTTTTTGATGAATTTTAAGCTAATAAAATAAGCTGAGTTGATCACAAATGCACGATGCGAGTTGAAAAGGCGTTCACTTTCTCCGTCGCTTCGAGCCAGAGACCGCATGTGAACGGTTGTGGACGATCACTGCCCGGAGCCGTCATCGTGCGAGTGGGGCCATTGACTGAGTGCCGACCGAGACGTGGTGGGTGACCGTGAGCGACTGAGCGGGTGGCAGGGGCGACCGGCCGCCCTTATAGAGGCCGCCGCGCTTACGTAAGGGCGCGGCGCGGCGCGACTCGTCACACAGCGGCTGC